CCCGCTTCCACCGGGTCCCTGCGTAGCTCCCGCAGGGGTTCTCACGTTCTTCGCCCCGCCCCACCCCCGACCCTGTGAGCGCCGCTTTCTGCCTGCCCGGCCCTGGCTTCTGGCCGCGGTGCTGCCAGCCTGGCCGTGCCCCGACTTGCCCGGGGGCGCCGGGCGATCCGCGGGCGCGGGGTGCCTGGTATCGCTAGCTTCCGAGCAGGGCGGTGGAGTAGGTACCTGGTGCTGTACTGCCTTGTGCTTTTCATTTTATTTTTCATGTTTGGGTCAGTAAATGGGTGGAAAGGTTTAGCTTGCATTTTCATGTGTGACTTTATTATTTATTTTTTTTTAATTCCTGAGTTAAAACTTGCCTCTGATAATCAAGCTGAACAGATTGCCACAGATTCCTTTGCCTTCGAGTGACCCTGACCAAGCTGGCTTCCCAGACTACAGACCACTTACTCATAAACCTGAGTACTTTAGATAAAGTAGACAGCAAAGCTCTGGACAGCAGCTCAGATCGAGGTGTGTCCCTCAGCCTTCGTTGAGATTTCCCGTGTGGTCTTGAGCAAGTCTTTTAATCCACTTTGTGCATCAGCTCCCTGGCTGCAAAATGCTGAAGCATTTCCCAAAATAAAATGTAGCAGTAACTGAGTTACTGGTACTCCTCAGCAATGAGGAGCAAAGTAAGCAATTTAAGAAAAAAATGAAAATCAAATGACCAAATTATTAAAGCCTGCTTTTTGTCAAAGGGTAAATATTTCCTTTTTGTTTTCTGCTTAATTTAATAAAAAGGAAATACTAAAAATCAAACTGGATAAAGCATGTTTATAATGCTAGTAGGTGTAGCAACTCAGAAAGTTGGTCTGTGTGCCTTAGGAGTCTCCTTTATTGGTCCACATTGTGAAACCCTGTAAATGTTTTGGGGAGTTTAAATTCCAGTCATCTTAATTAGTGTCTAAGAGCTGAATGTGTCTTGTTTAACGCCATTTTTTATGGCCCTCTCTTCAAAGACTGAAATTCAAAAGGATAACTGAAATGTTGATATGAACCTTACAATGGATCTAAAAGTATTACAGATATTTATATTAGAGACATATTTATAACCTACTTACAGAGGCACCTGTCACGTACTACAGAAAGTGTTTAGCGTATGTTAAAGATGACTTCACATGTTACGTTACAAATATATTATAGACTGAACAGGAATTAGTCGATGGCATGGTATTAAACTTGGAAATAATATATGATTCTCTGTTCAGAAGCAGTTATGAACAAGGATAAAAACAACCCTGTTCAGAGATTTTAATGAGTCATGGATTTTATCATAAATGAATACTAATGAGTTCAACTTGAAGTATGTCCTTTTTGATGTTTTTTATGATTAAAACTGTTTGGGTGGTCTGTCTTAAATTGAGTTCTTTTACTGTTCAAAGAGAGATCCTTTTTAGGTGTGCATGTGTTGGTGGTGGTTTTTTTTTTCCAAAGAGGAGGAATTTGTGCTTATATCTTCTGGGGAGTGCAAAACACTGGAGTTTGCAGTTTTAGCTATATAGTACTGCCTGCACAGTGAGTGCTGCTGAAAGCTGAGACTCCCCGCATAATCCTGTTTGGGGTTTTTTTTTCCAGTCTATTAATAGAACAAAATACTAAAATGCTTAAATACTTGACATGAGTCACTGGGCTGCTTTTGAACTGAAAACAAAAGCTGCCTACCGAGATGATTTTTTTTTCTTAAAAGGCTAGTCCCAGGTGTGTTAAATATGTACTTCTTTCCTTTTTCTTTCATACGCCTAACCAGGACATACCCAGTGGGACCAATATCTCTTTTGCAGTCATTGCTGCAAACTATTCTGTGAGAAAATGCAAATTATGCTATTGAGCTGTTCTCTCTCTATTCTTAGAAATTATTATGATCCTGTAAGTTTTGTGAAAATTGGGAGAGGTAGGTAAAGTATACCCCAGTGGATGCCTCCCACCAGGCAAGGCTTGGAGAAGCTGGCCAAAGTCAGCTCCTGCACACTCAGCTTGATGGTGGCTCTCAGTCCTGGCAGCACAGCTAAGGCAGTGCCAAGGTAGTGCCTGTCTGCCAGAGCACCGCTTTATTTTTGTCCAGCGATTATCAGGAAGGCTGTCCAAGAGGAGCTAGGGATGATGGGGCAAACAACACAAAGCTGTAGGAAACCAGGTTTTGGCAGTTGTGTTGTAGGCAGATCAACCTTGCTCATGTAGCTGCCATCTCTCCTGCAGGTTTTCTTTAAGAGGCCTTAAAGCAGCATTTGTCAGTTTGAAATACAGTATTTCTGTTGAGCTTTTTTGTTTCTTGCTGAGCTTAATTTTGGGTGTTTCACCAGGTGCTGTCTGCTGCCGGTGACTTTGCTTTGCTTTTGAAATGCCTTCTAGAGAAGGAGTAAACATTGGAAGTTTGCTTATCTGAAACACTGTTAATCTATGAATAAACCAGAAACAGCTGTATTAATTTAAAATGTTATTTATAGGCCCCTGAATTTGAAAGCAAAAAAAAATTGTAAATGTAAAAATCTTCTCCTGGTCTCCAGGAATCTCGTTATTAACAAGAAAGTTTCAGGTGTTTGGGATGACAAAAGATGACTGAATTTACAAGGAGAGAAGGCTGGTACATGAGCCTTACAAACCCTCATGCAAATGGAGTTTTATTGTCATTGAAAAGGAGAAGATCACAAACAAAAAACCCACTAAAATACAAAGCAATCCACCCCCCAAGCAAGAATCCCCCAAAACATTGTCTGCAGTGTTGTGTAACAAAAGTGATAGTGTTATGCAAGGGAGGGAACACTCAAGAAGTGAAAAGACTATAAACAAAATCTGGGAAGGGAATGCCACCCTGTGTGCAGGCAGGTTTGTGGTTGTGTTTTGTTGTGTTTATTTCAATAGGGTGCTGCTGATTACCAACATGAAGACACTAGTTTCAGGATTTAGACAAATTCCATTGAGGTAAGCCTGGTGGAGAAGGGTATAATGCAGAAATGTCGAATAAGGACTAAGAAATAAGCAGAGGTAGCAGGGGTCACTGGTGGGTTAGGGACCCGTAGCTGTGGTGAGAGAAGGGAGCAGGGTGCGAGTCCGGGGAGTGCTAGGCCTGTGGTAAACTGCATTTCTCAGCTATATCCTCCTGGGTAATTAAGGCATTAGGGGAGGATAGGCATAAAGTCACTTTAAACATCAGTTGATGTACTGTGCGTGTCTGGTACTTGTTTGTTCCCTTCCCCGGTACTTATTTTACGTCAGCTTTTCTTTTTAAAATACTTTTTAGTCTTTCAAGTGGAGTGCATATTCAGCAGATGAAAAGCAAACTGTTTGCCAGTTTAGTAGCATTTCAGCTGTTCTGGTTTTGAAACCTCAAGTAGTACATGATGGAAAAAATCCTTGAAATGGCTTACCTATGACAAAAAAACTTTTCTCAGAATGAAAATACAGACTCTTCCTGAATACCATGTTGTGGTACTTGTCTTCCCTCCCTCTGCACTTCCCCCCTCCTTGCCCCCTGAAGATAATAGGTTTGGCTCTGGAAACTCACTTCCAATAAGGGTGGAGTGAAATTATTTTTGCTACTTCCTGCCAAAATTAAATAAAATGTGTCAGAATGAAAATTTTACAGTTCTCATTGAGCCAAGCACTTGTACTAAAACTTGTTTTTAATTTTTTTGCAGCTGATACTTTGTTTTGCTCATATACCAATGACTCTGTGTGTGTGTGCGTGTGCGTGCGTGTGCGAACTCCTTGGAGAAATGCCAAGGACTGGAGACTGGGACAGTGCCAGCTTTTATTAAGTCTTTTTGATGTCACTGAAATGAGGCACACACCTGAAGTGTCTCACATGACTGTCTTCAGGGCAGAAGTTTGCAAGTTGCTGGGTAAGGGCTTAATTGAGCAATTTCTCTCTTCAAAAGCATTTTATTTATTTTTTTAGCTATATTGTAATTAAGCATCTTCTGTCAGGAACTCCTAATTAGTTAGTGGTTTGTCATGCTCTAGTTTGATGTTTGTGGTTCAATTTGAGGGTACTTTGATTTCTTCCCCTCTTTCCCCTAAAGGAGGGGGGGGAAAAGTCCCCCAAACTCAAAAAACCCTTAAAATAATATGCTATTGGTATTCATTGCAATTTAGGAAATTTGAAACTGTATCAGAAGTGTCTGTAGTATTTGAGGAAATATGATCAAGTTAAAACACAGCACTATGAAAATTTTGTGCTGCTGGTTTTTTGAATAGCATCCATCTTCATATAGGTATGAAGGAGGTACATATTTCCAAACTTGTTTGCTTGAGCAGCAGCTCTACTGTGTGTGGATGTTTCCTGTCTTTCAGCAGTAGCAGTCTATGACTGTTAAACCACGTGGGCTAAGGAAGGTAGATGGTAAAGTTGGAACAGTTATAAACTCATTGCTCAGTGTATGTAGATACTATGTAGGTATCAGTCTGACAGCTTTCTTCAAAGAGCTTCTTGGAGTTCCCCAAGGGACAGATCTACCATGGGGACTGCCTTGAGTTCATAGTAACCCCTCAGAGAAAGTGTGGGCTTCAATTCTCTCCTTCTTACGTTTTAGTTGTTCTAAATCACCTTGACTTACTACAGTTATTTGCCGTACGCTGAGAGGTGGGGAGGCATAGGTGTCTGAATCCATCCTCCTTTGGATTTAGGATTGTAAAAGCCTGCTAGCTCTTACAAGAGTGGAAAGACAAAGCCACGAGTCAGCCAGGTGCTGAGAGCATTGCCAAGTCACCAGAGCCGTTGTGATTTGGGGCTCCAGTTCTCATCAGTGCATTCCCTGTCCGATCCTAGTAATGGGGCTCTTATTGAACGGCTGTCCACTGGGGAGGACTTTGTGCTGAATTCCTCCATAGTCTGAAGTTACTGGCTCGTTGATAAAGGTTAAAATCCTGGAGATTTTAATAGTATTGTTTAGGATTAGCATTAGGACCACCAAACCTGGTCCCTGTGATGCTGGGTAGGTAATGTACAGAGATGAAAACCTCATGGTTGAGGGTTAAGGAGAAAGTATACAGACTGGTACTTCTCAGCTCCTTAGGTTTCCACATCTCCCTTTAATATTTGCAGCTTCAGCATAAAACCTGTAGTTATAAACAAGCTAAAGCTTCAGACAGGGAGTTTGCTTTTCTTAAGACCCATACGTGGCAGCCTCAGAATCATTGACCCCTTATGGGATCTGCACACTGAAAATTGCTGAGCTAGGCAGTTGCTGTGGAGATCAAAGAAACTGAAGACATTAAAAGGAGGGCAATGGAAATGCTGCTTAACTAGTACACCAGTTAAACAGAGAATTTACTGTGGAATTACTGTGCTACGCTCACTTTTGTTATTACTCTTTTATTGTTTCTGGTTTTGTCTCTGGCTTCTTAATGAAGAACCAACAGTAGCTTATCTTTCAGGCTTCCGCAGGCCATGTTCAATTAAATCTTTCATTTGGTTTATTTAACCATCTCCTAAACAAAGCTGAAAGTACAGTGTAAGGCAGTGATTCCTGCTCTGTAGGTTGTGGAATACATACAGTATGACATGGCAGCATAGCTGCTGACAAGAAGTGGTGAAGGTTGTCTTTTGATCCAAAAGTTTGGGAACCCTTCATCTAAGCTATGGCAAGCCACAGGCAAGAGGATTTGTAAAGGAAAACTGTTTGTCTTTACTCAAATTGTTATCAAAGAATATTGTGTTTGTATTATGCAGGCAGTGCCTGATGAATAAAGAAGAACTGGATACAAAGGCACAGGAAATATTTTTTAGGAAACATTTAGAACTTACTGTTCTTGGTTTTCAAAGTATTAGCCTTGATGATTGGTTTCTAAAGTGTATTTGTGAGAATATACAATAAATTAATTAATCAAATGCTTTCTTTATGTAGATTTACATTAAATGTAATTCTCCCAGTAGTGCCTCTGGGTTTATTTCAGAGTGTTTCAGCATGTGGTAGGTGTTCTGCTTTGCTGAACTTGTAATAGGTAGCTGCATAGCTCCCATTTCTGTAATACTGTTGATGTTGACGCTTTTATATAAGTGTAAAAAAACCCACACTTGAATGAAAACCAAATGCAACTCAAAAAGTAACTCATCTCCAGAACAGATTAAAATAAAATGCAGCTACAGTTCTGGGGTGAGAGTGTGTAGATGTGCATCTCTGTGTGTGTGCGTATACATATACATACACTCGCACATGTATCTTAAAATGCATCCTTCCAGTCACGTGTCTTATGGTCATGTTTTTCAGTTTGGCAAGGTTAGACGACAGTCTTGAACTTTGTGAGTCTTATTTCTCAGCCTGATAGGATCAGAAATGCAATGAGGTATGAACACTTACTCCCCTGAGAGGTAAAGACTTTATTGCACATCAAACAACCTCTGAAAGAAATAAAGAAAAAACAGAAAGAGTGTTCTTGTTTGAATTGGGAGGGAGCGTAGTCTATCTGTGTTTAGATAATGTCCTTTTTTATGGAATCTTTGAATAATGTTGAAATGTTGAAAGAATGAAATATCTGACAGAGTTGTTGTGTTTGTACTGTGTCATGAAAATGAGAAAATTTACATGGCCCATGTTATTTTCAGGTTTGCTGTAAACTACCTACGTAGCTATAATGACACCAGCCCTCAGAGAGGCAGCAACAAAAGGTCATGGTATCCACTTGTCACCTTCTTTGTCCTCTAGAGCTATGGAGTCTGATACAGCTTTGTGCATGGAAAATTCCAGAGCAGTGGAAGAGAAGATAAAAGAGGACTCCATCGCACAGATTACTTGCTCAGTCCTGGGGTTCCCCACTGCTGAGCCCAACCTCAGAAATGATATCTTCAGTGTACAGCATTTTGGTTCTCCGCCAGCCTCCAAGTGCTATCAGTCTGTCTTGTTAATGAGTACAAATTCTGCGTTTAGCAACAAAACCGGTAAGCAAACGAAAGCAGGAGAGCTCGACTGCTCCAAGATGAGAAATTCATTACATAATGGTGCTGACACATCATTTGGTCGGATTAGTCATTCAGAACCTGAGGAACAGGTCAAAGGGGAGACATTTTCAGAGACCACATCTCCGAATTTGGCAGAAACACAGAGACTTTTGGATTCAAATGTAACCGAATCCAGTAATGCAGAAGAAATGCAGCTTTTAAATGGTAAATGGTACAAGAAGAATGGTTTTTTGGGTAGGGCCTTGGAAGTCTGCACTGAAACAATAAAAGGGGATTTATTACACCAAATTCTTCACGGGCCTTCAGAAGGGATTTTGAGCTGCACCCCGGAGGAGGTGTATGCTCGATTACTCCAGTGTGTCACTAAGCAACAAATGGAAATCAGTCGTGCCAAAAGAACTCAGAAACGTTTACAAACGCTCCTGGCAAAGCATGTTATCAAACACTGTGATCAGCAGCTGAAATGCTTCGTGAAACATCAGCTACAAAGAATGAAGGTTTTCCATGAGCCAACCCGATTTTTGAGCAGTAGCTCCCTCAGGTGCACTGAAGGTTGGCCAGAAAACAACACAACTACTTTGGAGAGTAGTTCTAGTACGGATGTACAGAACGGAGTTAGCGTTGCACCAGGTGAAATCCAGGGCTTTGCACTTTCTACTGGAGGGCTGCTGTCTCGTGTGGAGAAGGATCTGGACTCTGATGCAACATGTAGCAGCTCAGATGAAGATGGTGAGGAATGGACTGTAAGAACAACTGTGGAAGCGTAAGTGTTAAATTCTTGCTAGACTCATGTGCTTCATGCTTATAAATCAAGATGGAAGGGCCTAGACCTGCAGATTCCTTCTTGTGTGAGTAACCTCACTCAACAGATAGTCCTACTGAAATCAGCAGGACTGCCTGTGTGAGCTAGGTTTGGCAGAGGCCAGACAGAAAGTAAGAACGCTCCTGTAGAGACCTAGATTTTGTACTGCACTATCAGTTTGCATTACATTAGTACTGCTAATTATTCAATACTCAGATGGTGCTGTAAATCAAATAGTGATAGCAGTGCTGTAAATGATATGAAAATAATTTTAATTGTATTCTGGAGTTATTAAGAATTAGTCAATGTTAGGATCTTGAAATTCACTGTGATGTGATACAGGGTTAAAATGATCATCTGATGCAGGTGTCAAGCCATCCAGTATTTGGGGGTTGTATATTGAAAAAGTTTGGTTCTTTGAATTATGATTTAAAAAATGTTAATTTACTTACTGAAGTTGTTCTGCTACTGTGAATGAAGCTAGCAGTGGTGGTTTTATTGTTGCTGGTATCTTTTTCAAGAAGAACCAGAGGGAAATTAGTATCATTAACTAATACTGTTTTGAATTGACCAGGATCCTGTCAGTACAAATTAGTATAGCTTTGGAAATCAGTGGTGGGTAAGAGAATTAGATAGTAAAGTTGTTCCCTGATGGTGGTACAGCCTCTTTTTTTTTCTTTTCTTTTTCTTTCCCCTACCTTGCTATACTATTAACACAATCTCTTTGGTCAAGAAATTTTAGAAAGCGGTGAAAGGACGGCTGCTTTCCCCTTCTAACAGCTGGAGAGAACAGTGTATGTCTCAAGGTCTGTTAGGATGTGATAGTCAGGACAGTAACACATGGAATAGAGCTTCACACAAACACAGCAGCTTGGTAGGAGCTTCGTGGCGCCTACATTTCTAGCACTTGGAAGTCTGGACTGGTTTTGTGTTTCCTGATCTCTTCTTATACTCTCTGCTATTAGGGAGTGTCTAGAAGGCATTAAGAGTGACACTGGTGTTTGAGGAAAAATAAATATTTAACAACATGTATTTATTAGTCTGTTTCTTGAAAAGCATAATGTTCAGAAGAAATCAATGAAGCTTTATCTTAAACTGGAGAAGATCTGTGCCCTGTTAGCATTTGTAGCCTCAGGGAAGCTTCAGTAAGCATGGTTATATTAAATCATGGCTACATTTTGTTAAACTCTGTAGGCCTGGAAAACAGAGGGGAGAAAAAGTGCAAAGTAAAAACTAGTCTTCATTTTCTTTTATGTATTGTTGGAATGGTAAATACTGTACTAAAGTCCAACCAAAGCATAATGACTTGCCATCTAAGTAAGGATCACCTTAAATATTTGAGTTTGCGAAAGAATTATTCTCCTTCTGAAATATTTTAATGAAAAAACAGCATTTTTGGCTCTTCCCAGCATAGGAGAATCTGCTTTCTTCTCCTAGCTGATATGTTTGAACTTCTGAGTAATAGCTCTGCCTCTAGGATTCTGATGATTATATGAACTGAAAAAGAAAAACTGCTGAGAAACCCTTGTTTCTTGAAGGGTAGTGGATAATGTAATATTTGGACCAAAGTTCCGTGCAAGGGTTTTCTTTTTTCTTCTTCTCAGGGACACTTGAGTTTATAACTCTGCCTGCCAGTTCTTTACCTTTTTTTCTTGTGGCTTTTGAATTCCTTAAGTTGTCTTTCCACTTAAGGTTTACTCAGTTTGTTTTGTTGCACTGATGAAAAAATCCACAGAGGATTTTTAAATACAAAGACACCACCTTTGTTTGGCTCAGGAAATCCCCAAGCTACTGTTGCTGGCAGCTACGGGAGTATTCTGGAGAAGCACTGCTCCCTCCATGCCTGCCCTGTTTTAAGACTCTTATCTTGGCCACTGCTAAGTGGCAGGCAACCGGATAGATCATCTGTAGTCTGACTCAGTGTGACCCTTTATTTGTGGGTTGTTTTTTTCCTCCATTTTTTATGTTCTTACTGCTGAACAGTAGTCAAGCAGCAGTGGTGACAAGGTTAGAAATGTGCATTAGCTAAGGCCTTGCTGCCTTGGCAGTGCAAGGATCACTGGTGTTTGAACCGTGCTGCTGGGCCAGCAAGCTCAGAGTTAACGTAGTGCCTAATTTAAGCAGAAGACTCTTGTCTGTGTGTATAGGCTGAGGCAATGCTTGAATTAACATTGCAGTGAGGACAGGCTGTCTCTTATTTGAATTTATCCTTATCTTCAGCTTGGAATGGTTTTCTTCATATCTTCAACTTCCCTAAGATTTGTCTTTATGGCTTAAAGGCTGCACTTTTTCTTCTAGGTGACAAAGGTAAATCAGTTATTCACCAGTGCAGCTGCTGAGATTTGCTGTTTCCTGAGCTTTACCACTTTAAGGGTCTTTGGATTGCCTTTCACTGGGACAAAAGAAACAAAGTTAACATCCATTTTTATTTCTGTTAGGTAGATTTACATTCTTTGAAATGCCTTTCTCTCCTAGGGCATTGACTCTTAGTGCTTTCCAGAAATAATGTGTTCATGTGGGTGAGTTTCCTTGTCTGTGACTTATGTTTTCATAGTGAAGACCTTTAGTGACCTGGAAAGACTCTTCGTCTGTGATGTTCTTCATAATACTTAACTGTAGATATTGTAAGGTGCTATTAATGCAGTGATGAACAGGAAAAATGTTTTGGTTTTGCCTACATCACAGTATACTGACTGCATTTAACTTGAGGGTATAATCACACTGGTGGCCGGTCATTGTCATGACTGCGGTGCTTTTTATCCTTTTTGGGAGGCGGAGGAGGTGTCAATCCAATGTGCAAGAAGGGATGAACCTGCAGTTACTGTGTTTACCTGAGACCAGTCTGTTTCCCATCAGGAGGGACAAGTTGATTCCGGCTCCAATTCTTCATGGTAGGAAAAAACCTGGAGCTATTTTTAGCATTTTGAACCTGTTCATTCTCATTATCCTGAGAAGAGTTTTGCCTGTTGAGTGTTGACATAAGCTCTTCTGAGCTGTATGTCAGTGCTTTGTGTCTCAAGTAAGATTGTCTTTATCCATCTATTTCAATACCTTTGTTGTGTAGTCTTAGATAGCTGTTATAAGATATTTAGACCATTGTTCATTGTTTGTGTGTTGCATAGGTGCTGTCCTCAAGACAAGAAAGATTCCTTGGTCTGCTGGTGAAGGCAATTCTTCTAGTTGACAATTCACAGTACTTACTGAACTTCCGTAGTTCCTAGAGTAATTGGAAAGCCTCATCCCATTTCAAGAGCTTAATCAAAACACATTTTGTCCTTTGAGTATTTGCTAAAAAGAAATGTGAAAAAACAATTGGCTCCTTTCAGGAATTTTGTCATTTTGCTGCTAGTGTCAGCTAATGAATGCTTTAACCTGTCAGTTTCCATGGTAGGTTTCTTATACCAAGCATCAGATTTCCATCAGTAATTTGTAGTGTATTCTAGTACCGTTCCTGCCTTTGGGTGTAGGAAATATCCAGAGACACTGCACAGGGGATATGGTAGTACTTCTCTCTGGCTTTTCAAAGGCAGATGTTAGGTGCTGTTTGCTAGCTCCCTGTTAGGCGTTAGCAACCGAAGTGGACAGAGGGCATCAGAAAGCTGACCATAAGTAATTCCTTCAGGAATTCACAGCTAACATCAACCACTTGAAATGCAACACAGACAACATTTCACCAGCTGAGTTTACTTGGAACTTGTCAGTTATCTTTGTGGTTCATGAAGATGGAAGATTACCCTTAGAAACGGTCAGAGATTTCAAACAAGGTGAATTGGTGGAGGATGGGAGCTCAAGAGTTTTTTCAACAACACAGCTCTGCTCTGGGAGCTATGTATTGTATCCTTCCAGGCCAGCTCCACATCCTTATTCATGTATTTTGTGTGTGTTCCTGATGTGGTTAGAAGTTCTGGTTGTTTACAATGTACCACAAAGAAGTCTGATGCTGAGGTGGTTATTTGGGAAGCCTTTAAAGTTGCAGGGTACAGAGTTCTTCTTCTACATGCACTACGTGTATGATCTTCCAGAATCAAAAGATATGTCACTGGGGTTCTTTGAAGGCACAGCTGCTCACTCTGTCAAATAGTAATACATGTACTAATTGATTAGAGAGAAAAACTGCTTACAATAGATTTTTCTGCAAAATAAGTAGCTCTGTCTACTCATGAAAAGTCGTGTGACCCGTTTCCCCAGTCATCCTTCCCCCATCTGAATACAGTCCTTTTGCATCATTTGGTGGGATTTTTTCTTTCTGAAATATTTTCATGCTTTTCCTCTGATTTTTGAAAGACATGGTTTACTGATTATGCTCCAGCAACCTCAAGCCTGACGAAGAAGCACTGTTACATTTTTCCATGCCCACAGGGTTTATTGTGCCTGGAAACTTTTGTAATGAATGTGCAGAGATAGTAAATCTTTTTTTTATTCTTCTTCTTCTTTTTTTTTCCCCTTAGATTGCTAGTTGGAAAGAGGGAAGATGGGAAGTCTGCTTTTAGTACAAATACTTGGTGGGGAGGGGAGCAGTAAGGCAGAGAGAATACAGGAAGGAAGAAAATATTATGACTAGTATCTCCAAATCTAATCTGTTTGTTCTAGATTATTTTCCATTTTTCCTAGCATTTTTTTTCATGACTAATTGAGCAACATCAATGCAGTTCTGCAGGCCTCACTATAGAAGGCACTGCTTAAGGGCTGGGGTTTATTGCATGTCTTTGAGCCACATTATAAAGGGAAGCTGTTTGTTTTTGCAAGGTCAGGTCCTAATTTTCCACTCTGAGCTGTAATTTCGCTTCATACCTGATATGAGAACTGAATTCTGGTTTTGGGAAGGGGAGGAAGAGAGTCTGCCAGGACTAAATACTGCTTTCCCTTTTTCTTAAGCACAAACCCCCAGTTGTTTCCAGTTTTTAAGACCTTTTTAGTTTTCAAGTCCAGGAAATGTCTTATTTGCATGGAAGACTAATGTT